CTACATTTTTAAGTATATTTAACATTTAACATCTTGTCCCATTCAGTATTGTCAAACGCTTTTTCTAAATCTACGCACTGTTTCCTTTTTCCATAGTTTTTTCTATTGTTATCCGTCAAGCTAGAATGGCCTCACGCGTTCCTCTATTTCTTCTAAACCCAAATTGATCTTCACCTAATAGTTCTTTCGCCCTTTTTCTCATTCTCCTCTGTACAATTCTAGTTAAGATTTTTAACGAAGGGAAGTTAAGCTAATTGTTCTAAATGTCTCGCACTTATCCGTGCCTCTCTTTTTAGGTAGCCTACTACCACGTTCCTCTGGAACTTTCCCCGTCTCGTAAATGTTACTAACTACCTTAAACATACGATCTCTAACCTCTTGTCCTGCAAGTTTTAAAATTTCTCCCTGTATCCTATCTACACCTGGCGCCTTATTATTCTTTACGTTTTTTAATACTACATCTAACTCTTCTCCAGTTGTGGAATAACCTAGTTCATCTATCTCCACACTATCTTCCTTCTCTAATTCATGGCCTGCGTATATGTTCTCTAAATATTCTTTCCACCTGTCTGCCTATTTCTCATTTTCTATCAAAATGACCTCTGCCTCGTTTCTTATATTATTACTACTGTATCCTACATCTCTAAAATTCCTTTTAATTATATAAGTCTCATTGATTTTACCTACTTCAAACTTTTCTTCTACTTCTTTATACCTATCAATTCACTGTTCCTTAGCTGCCCTACAATTTCTAATTATCTCCCACTTTATAGTCTTATATCTTTTTTGCCCATCTGTTCTGTTTTTGTATTTCCGCCTTATTTTTTCAATCAGCACATTGTTCCACAGCCTCAATAAGTCACAGCACAGGCAATGATCTCAAGTACAAGACATAAAGCTGTGCCCCTTCTAGAGTCAATTTTGAATTATACTCATTAATATTTACAAATATACGAATTATATATTTTTTCTATCAGCACATTGTTCTATGGCCCTAGTAAGTCACAGCACAACCAATCCTCTTGAGTACCTTATGATAAACTTTTTATTAAATGCGGACTTTATGAAATGATGTCAGATTTGGGACACATTTCAGCACATTTTTTTCTATCGAAAATCCCAAGATGGCGGGTACAACATTATGGACATGGCAAAAGATTAGTATACTTAGATTTTAGTAGCAGTATTAGAATCTGACAAAGAGATAGAGATAGTCTTAAATAAAGTGGAAGCAATATTGACAAAACACTGGTATGAAAATAAAAACAAAAGTAAAACAAACATATTGATATGCGGAAGAAGAAATAGAGAAATAGTGAATATAGATAGAAATGCATAATTATGAAACTTTGACACTTAATAGGGGTTAACATCAAACATTAATATGAAAGTTTACAAATTTCTTCAAGTTAATGAGGGAAAAATTTGTTGCTGTTGTCACACCCTTGCCGGGAATCGAACCTGAAGATAGAAGACGAAAAATAAAAAGAAGTCGCTGATTTTCGGTATGTATTAGGAAGTCAGATAATTTAGGACGGAAGGAGCAGTGGAGATATAATATAAAGGATAGTGTCGATGCCAATTGGAGAGTAGTGGACTTTATTATAAGGGTTTGAAAAAACACTTGACCGCTTTCGTTTTTATTTTTAGTAACTTTTATTACAAACACAACAAAAATTAGTTACAAAAAAGAAAGACTGCCTAGTATTGATTAACTAGCAAATTCAACTGGTTTTTAGGGGAACAAGAGCAAGTGAGTTGTATCTGTTAGGCTTTATGTTGCAGTGAAAAATTCATGTAACCACTTTGATTCTTAGCGAAGTTGGTAGCATTGTCACTATAAATTATACAAGGATTACCTCGTCGTCATATAAATCTCTTTAAGGTTAGTAAAAACGCATCATCATGAATATAAAAAAGGGTATGTAGCATTTATGCTTTGCGTAACTTAGAGGACCTTATCAGAAAGGAATCACTGCAGTCATTACTTACCCTTAGAATGAGTCTAGCTGCGGAAAGCCTATCCTTTGGTAAATTACCCATTATTTGTTCGGAGCGTTGCGGTTTGAATCTGTGCAATGTGACACAATTCTTTATTATTCCCTTGATTTCACGTAGTCCGTTAACTGACCAAAATCTTAGTCTTATATGGGCTAACACTGCTTGAGCACCGGCATGACAAAATTTAAGGTCCTCTTTTCTAAGTAATAACTGAATAATGTAAGACCTTGAAGGAAATAAAATAGGGTATTTTTGATTATAAGGGATTTCTGAATTACAAAGACGTCCACTTACACGTAGTATTCCATGTGAGCCCAGAAAGGGGTTTAAAGTTGCTAACGCTTTGTTTTCAATAAATTTATTTGACTTCTGTTGTATTAGTTCTTGTGAAAAATAAAGATTAATAAAAAAAAAATAAAACTAATAATTATAAAAAGGGTTTTCGTCATTCGTTTACTGTGAGATGTTCATATTGTTTATTTGACTTTGTAGTAGCATTATCCAAAAATTGGACACCAAAAAGCTATAGTTCTTTGAAATCTAGTGAAGCAAGATAATTATAAAAATTGTTATTCTTTCTTTCTTTTTTAATTAGGGCTAGCTTGACTCGTTTTAAATCATTCCTGGACACCTGTGACCTAGAAACCGAAATATGCAACATTCAGGCGCGTTTAGAAATAGCAGAACCATTGTACGGAAAATTCGAAGACATCCAATCTAGGATTGAAGAAACTGCAGAAACCGAGGAACAGTTGCAAACCCAAGACGGTGAACGGACTAATTTCGAGACAACATACTTCAAGCTGATTGGTACTGCACGTGAAGCAATTAAGAAGTCGTTGGAGAAGGAACGTCGCGAACGCGAAGAACACAGAACCATTGCATCTAATTCATCTACTACANGGGTTGATATTAAAAATCTACATTGGGCCAATAAAAAAAAATCTGACGTTTCCATCATTGAACCAATATGTAAATATAATATTTTACCAATATTTTTGTGGTACTGGGGTAGATATTGTGCCTACATATGCATGATATATTGTGACTATATATAAAACATATATTGGACCAATCTGGAAAACAAATATTGGCTGTATTTTTCAAATAAATATTGCACATTTATTATTTCCTAACATTGGAACAATATTTAATTTCAATATTGGGTTAATATTAAAAATCTACATTGGGCCAATAAAAAAAAATCTGACGTTTCCATCATTGCACCAATATGTAAATATAATATTTTACCAATATTGTTGTGCTACTGGGGTTGCATCTTCTTGTACAGGAATTTCGAAAATCGGTGGTTAGGAAGGGGAGGGGGCAATTAAATGGCCTGCCAGGTCACCTGACCTCACAGAATGCTATTTCTTTCTGTGGGGTTTTGTTCAAAATAAGGTGTATGCCCCTATACCTACCACTGTGGAGGATATGCGGTAAAGAATAATTACCGGCTTAAGAGAGATTACCCCGGACATGCTGACTAACGTCGACATTAATTATTGTCGCAGTAATAGGCGAATGAGGATTTGTGTAGAACAAAATGGCAGCTACTAATTGACTAACTGCAAATTTCATTCCCCGGAATTAAAACAACTGAAACGGTGGTCAAATAAGTAGGCACTACAGTAACAGCCAGATTATTCAAAAGACGTGCAATTCACTTAGAAATATGCGCAAATCAATTTAATAAATTCAATATAAATAAAAATTCATGTTCTGTCCCGCTTAGAATATTACATTTTTCTAAAACATCTTTTAAACAGGGCACTGGGTTCCTTTCAGTTTCCAAGTTAGGAAGGAAGATAAGCTTTCTAGGAAATTGAAATTATGAAAACAGTTGAATTTTCTCAAAATGTGTTACCTGTAGATAGTATCTACCTTATACTGGACAAAAAAAAAATACTAATTTGAGCCTCTCGGATTATATCTCTTATATTGACATTGGGATATCAAAAAGCGAAATTCATTTTCTTCCGTAGGGACAGTTAAAAGGTAGTTTCTAGGTGCAAATTTTATTGTTTCGCTAGTAACAAACCTCTGTAGCACCCTGCGGAACGCGGATTACGTGTGTTTGGATATCGCGGATATTTTTTTCATTTTGACTCAAAGCCACGGGTTAGGCAGTTCAGAAATTAACAGCTTCGAAAACGAAACGTTACTCGGCACCCAATTAAGCGCACAGAATTGACGTTTGTAGGAAACAATGGTGGATAAAAGCGAATCGCCGACGAAGCCGTACTTGATATTCTGATATAAACTGACATTATTAAAAAAGTTTAATTTTCTCAAAAAGTGTTAGCCGTAGATATAGTAACAACCTTATATTGGACGAAAGGAAATAAAATTTTGCATATGATGCGCTGACAAAAACATATGGCATTCCATTAAAAAAAAAAATAGTTATGCCTATTTAAAACAATTTATTTTGGAAGTGGTAAATTTCAATTAATTTAAAAAGAACATGTTTCATGTTTGCGGTAATAGTTGAAATAGTAGGGCATTTTTTCCACAAGCTATTTGTGAAAATAGAACACCTCTGTGTGTTCTCGTTTTGAAGACATTGAAAATGGCGCAGAGTACTGCAACTGCAACAGCGTATTAATTGATTTAGCGCCAATTTTATGGAAATTGGTGCATTTTAGACATAATGAATGGTTAAAAAAAGTGGTATTTTAATTTCACAAGGAATCCAAAAATGCAATAATAAATGGGACATGCCAATTGAAAAAATGAAGTTAGGTTGCCCCCAGAGAAAATGAAGCACTCTCTATAATCGAAATTAATTTTAGGATATGGAGGTACTTATTTGGTACCACTCTTATTAGAAACTTTTTTTTATATCTTCAAGTGTAAAGGAGTTATTGAGGAAACGCGTTTGCTTGGGACACTGTATATATATGTATATGTATATCATCAATGAAACGAATCAAGTTTTTAATTATAACTGCTGTGCAGATGTGCTTCTACCAAGGTTTTGTTTTAATTTTATTTAGAATCGCTCAGTGCTTATAAGCGGGCCAGTTCCTACTTCTGTGGGATCACAGTCGGGACCATATGCTACTTCAACTGCTCTTTCTACTGAAGAAAATAAGGATTTGCCTCCGTCATATGAAAGCTTATTTCCAGATAGATAAAGGAGAAAAAGTAATTCCGCCTACCTAGAGCTTAGCAGAATTTGTCAAAATGCATAATTTAATTCTTAACAGGCAACCGCGGGTATATAAAAATGGGCATTTGAAGTGATATCAAGTTTTTGTAATACCCTAAAAGTTGGAATAGTAGGGATTATTTAAATATTGATTAAAGGTGTTATATTCATTAAAAAAATGTTTTTTGTGAGATAGTTTGAACTCCTTAGATCGCATACTTTATCCTTTAATGTTTACTCCAGACATTTGCTAAATTCACAATTATTAGTAAGGTTGTGTATTTTAGCATATCATGACATTACATTTTGTTGTCGTTTGTAGCCTATCGCAAAATTGGATCTCTGTCTCTGTAGATTAATGCATATACCTCTTTAACTATTAAACTTAACAGAGCAGAGACTCTTTTGCTTTCTGTTTCAATGTTCTCAATATGCTGCTAAAATCTTGTATTGGATCGATTAAAGCCATACCTCTTCATATTTTACAAAACGTTTCATGGTCTTTTTCCGCATTCCCTGCCTTTTTTATTTCTCTTTTAAGATTAGCTGTTTAAAACTTGCGACCAAAGTTAAGTTTGAAATAAATAATATAAAGTTAGATGAGTTTATTACGATCATGAAATATTAACAAATTTATGTTTTATTTTATTCATTTTGATCATTGAATGGCATTAAACAACGCATCAGACCTGTGAATGTTAGTGAAATGAGTTCAGAAGCCGAATGAAACAAAATTTTTATTATTCAACAATTCCTTCCAACGATGGCCAGTCCAATGCAATGTTGCAAATACAAGTATTAATATTGGGTTGATATTAAAAATCTACATTGGGCCAATAAAAAAAAATCTGACGTTTCCATCATTGAACCAATATGTAAATATAATATTTTACCAATATTTTTGTGGTACTGGGGTAGATATTGTGCCTATATATACATGATATATTGTAACTATATTTAAAACATATATTGGACCAATCTGGAAAACAAATATTGGCTGTATTTTTCAAATAAATATTGCACATTTATTATTTCCTAACATTGGAACAATATTTAATTTCAATATTGGGTTAATATTAAAAATCTACATTGGGCCAATAAAAAAAAATCTGACGTTTCCATCATTGAACCAATATGTAAATATAATATTTTACCAATATT